ACCCCCTTTGCTCTGCCCCTCCCCGCCCCACAGCTCCGTCGTCCCCCGCCCCGTCGGACGGGGCCCCGCTTCCCTGGCCCGGCTCCTTTCCTGCGCCCCCCCCCCCACGCACCGCCCGGGCGGGGGCCGGGGAAATCCGCGCTCAGTGACTCCGGCCCCGACTGGCAGCGGGCTGGCCGCAGAGCTGGGGCTGGGCTGGGGGTCGCGCCCCACCGAGGGGCCATGGGGCGGGCGGGGCAGCCCCCAGGCTGGAGCTGAGCGCGGGAGCGGAGCCCAGGAGAGGAGACGTCCGGCCCCGCGACGGGACTGGGTAACCCCCCCCTTTCCTCTGGGGCAGGAGCTGGGGAAGGGTCGGGGGGGAGGGTGATCGGGGGCAGCCAGCGGGGGGGGAAGAAGGGGGGTGATCGGGGGCCAGGCGGGGGGGGCATCAGGGGCCAGCCGCGGGGTGGGTCAGAGTCAGGTGATTGGGGGGTCAGCGGGGGGGGGAAGTGGGGTGATCGGGGGCAGTCAGCCGGGGTGGGGAGTGGGGTGATCGGGGGCAGCCAGCTGGCCCTCAGCCTCCCCCCCCCGCCCGCTCTAACCAGTAGCCCCCACTCCCCACCTAGAGTGGGGGATGGAACCCAGGAGTCCTGGTTTCCCAGCCAGGCTCCTTACAGCTTTGGGGTAGGGGCGAAGGGGGGGTAGTTCGGGAGGGCAGCCAGCAACCCGGGGGCAGAGGAAAATTGGGGTGATGGGGGGCAGCCAGCTAGCTGGGGGGAGGGGCGAACTGGAGGTAATTGGGGGCTCCAGAGCTCAGATAGAACCCAGGAATCCTGGCTCTCAGCCCCCACCCCGCTCTATCCAGAGTGGGGGACGGAACCCAGGAGTCCTGGTATCCCAGCCAGGCTCCTTACAGCTTTGGGGCATTGAGGTCCCCTCCGACCCTCACCCTGGGGAGGGGGAAGCGTTTGAACCAATAAAGGGCCTTGAAAGACAGCCCAGGATGGCCCTGGGCTCCCTCCACCTCCATGGATCCCAGCCCCCGGAATGCAGCTGGCTCTGGAGTGTAGCGGGAGCGGGAGCTTGTAGCCAAATCTAACTTGTTGGAAGCCACTAGCTGTGCGCTGGCAGTACCAGAGCTGGCCCCCAACATCCCGGCCCCCAACCTACCCCTTTCCCCACTCACCCCAACATCCCGGCCCCCAACCTAAACTCACCCCAACATCCCAGCCCCCAACCCACTCCCCAACCCCCACTCACCCCAACATCCCGGCCCCCAACCTACCCCCATCCCCCATCCCCCACTCAC